TAATGCTGTTATATCTATGTAGGGTGTGCAACAGCATCTTGTTCTTATCAGCTCAGATATGGGAATAGAAAAGGTGAAATTTAATTTATGCAGCATGCTCTTTAGTAAATCATACTGACCTGGATAATTAACATTTAACTATATCCAGGTCGCCACAGGCATCAGTTGTAGGGCTACAGAGTATACTGGAAGAGGTTGGCATCTGTATGGCCATACAGTGGAGGAAGTATAGCTGCTTTAAAAACACTAGGTTTTTATTCTAAACTGAGACTGGGCAAGAATTCCTTTGTGTCAGGTTTTTTAGAATAAAATTTCAGTACTGTGCGTATGTGCTCAATGTGTATAGACATATGTACATGCACACATACACAAGTGGAAAGGCTTGTTTTATTACTGTTTCTTGCAGTTTTTTTAAAGCATAGTTAATGTTTTGATAGTTATATTCATTGGGAAATAATATAGGGATGAACCAGTGTTCCTGATTTTCAGCTTGTGTTCGTATATTAAACAGCTGTATTTCTCTTTCAGTACAAATGGTTCACATCCAGCAACAAATCCACCTGTCCACTCTGTCGAGAGACATTTTTCTGAAATAAAACCGTCGGTCTTCTTGCTGTGAGCTAAATCATAAATGAAGAGGTGGCAATAAACTGTATGTTGAAAGAAGCTAACTACGTGGAAATCATGTCAGTTACTTTAAGTTCTTGACTAATGGGATATGGCGTGTATTTACCTCTGGACTGTTTTTTTTAAGGTTTAAGATTCTTCTTTGATATAAAGATATATATATATAAGAATAATTTATTTTAACTTGTATATTTTTAAGATACTGAGATATATTAAAAATTCAGAAATAATGCAGAGTTTTGTCTGATAAGCGGTATTTAAGCCACAGCATAGTTGATTAAACCCTCATATTTTAGGTGTGTTCTAACATGGTGTTTTGCATTTAACCCAGCTCATGCCTCTTCATATAACAGGTGAATTTAACATAGGTGGTAGAAATACTTGATTTTAGATTCTAGCGTGTTCATAATAGTTCCTCATGGGGAAAAAAAAGAATGTTGTTTTCGTTAGACATTAAGGCGTGGAACTATAGTAATAACCTTCTGTTAAAGCGTAAAATTTAAACATATCATGCTCTAAATTAACATGAACTGAGCTTTAACAGTCTTAACTTTCCAAAAACTCTCAGCCATCCAGCACCCTAAAAACATGAAAACTTGGAAGCACAAGTAAATAGAAAGAGTACAATTATTTCTGCATGACTGTGAAACACATTCCCTATTTACTGCTGACTGGCTTTTAAGGAGAAGACACACACACACTGATCAATTCTTGCTTTCATTATTTCAGTTAATTTCAGTCTTCATTAGCTGGCGAATTAACTGTCACTGAATGTACACTGTATTACCACTGTCCCATAGTAATAAGGAATCTAAGAGAATAAGACATGTATCAGGAATCAGTACTGATTTCAGCTATCTATTTTTTTCTATGCTCTTGTTTTAACAGCAGTAGCATACTAACATATTTTAACTTGGATGGTATTTGTAGTGGATTTCTTTGAAAAGTCAATAAAAGGTGGGGATAAATGAATTTTATTAATCCCTGTAATCTCTGGATTGCTATTTCTTCCTCTGTGTGATAAACTTTCAGCAATAGTATAAATTTTCAGGTGCTGAGTTTATAGCATATTCAGTTGTCTGTACCTTAATAGCTGAGCTGTTTTTTTCAGACTCTCTTTTCTCAAATTTGGTCTCTTTTGAGGTGACAGCTCTAGAAATGATTTTTAGCTGTAGGAGAATTTAAGTCTCTGTTTTTAACAGGTAACACTGGGCTTCCAGAGGAGAAATTTCTTGACATTTTTTGAGAAACAGAGAATTAAAAGGATTTAAAAAAGGTATTTAAAAGGCCTAACTGAAAACACAGATAAAGAAGCAAGCTTTATAGTTCCATATTTATTGACACTGAAACTCCAGGATTGTCTTTGTTGCATTACTTTGGTTAGTCTAAACAACTTCTTCGCAAATTCCATAACTGATTTGAAGGCCGGTTGTGGTTAACCAGGTGTTGCTTGACCATCTCAAAGTCTTCTAGCAGACCCAAACTTGCAAAATATCTCCTGGGAATGGCCTTCTGTAGAGCATTTGTCTCTTGACATTGGTCCTTTCTGACAGAGCAGTGCAGTCCCTAGGGGCCTGGGGACCAGAAGTTTTGCTTTCTTTTTGCTAAGTTGGTCACTACATAGAAAGTCTGTGTCTGCCATGTAGCTTATTCTCTTGTGCACTGAATGCAGGAATATGCTTCCCAAAACTCTCCAGAAGGTGTTGTGTTCTTTGGCCTGCTAGAAGTATGCCCTGGCAAACTAAGCATAAGTGCAAACCTACGTGTACACACAGCAAATTTCAAAATTTAAAAAATTAAAAAAAAAGAAAAAAGTTACCTGGCCTGTTACTAGCTGCTGCTCTTCACCAGGATGAGGGAAGCATAACAGGAATTGCTGCTTGGAGAACTCATCCATGTTCTTACTCGGACTGCATTTTGACAAGTGCTTCCACTAAAGCTGCAGTGGACAACCATATGGTGGGGCCAGAACTGACTCATCATTTGTTAAAGTGGACACACATCTCCTTGTCTAAATATCCATTTGTTAGATAGTCCAGTGAAAATGTTTTTTGTTGAAAGCATGTTACGTTTTATTACACGTTCTTTTCTGATTTTAATTATTCTGCCCTTTATAATTAAAACTGCATACACTGTTGAGCATTGTGATCTACTGTGCTCGGTGAGTGCTCTTTTTTATCTTTGATTATACCTTTTTAAATTAATTCCTTAGTTGTAACTAAAAGATAGATTAATTAAAATTTCCTTTTGTTAAGCTTGTAGTTTGAGTCTAGTACATGTTTTGACTGCATCTTAAGATCTTCTTTTTATGCTACAAAATCTACTGAGTGGCCTAACTTTGTTAGCCCAAGTAGTTCCCAACTTAGACTGCTCTATATCCAGGTTTTAAGCTGCTGCTGACACAGCATCCTGCGGCTACAATTAAAACCTCAAAACATGGGATTCTAGATAAAGCACAATGACTAAGCATAAAACCTTCTCTTCTTACAATTTTGTACGGGAAAACTGAACAAAAGAAACCAAGTGTGGCTTAGCAAAGGGTCTGCTATCAAGGCAAAAAAAGGTTCTAGAAGTAGGACACAGCCAAACTGGTAAGGTCTAAGAGCAAAATTGTGCTTTAATTCTTCAATGGAAAACTGTGGAAACACTTACTTCATAAATGGCTACAAAGTTTCTTCTCAGTTTCTCAACTTTGAAATTCTGTAGACAAGTTACTCCAAAGGTAAGAATCGACAAAGTCCTTCATCTAGCTTCAGTTTAGTCAATGAAATGTAAGAATCAACAAAGTCCTTCATCCAGCCTCGGTTTAGTCAATGAAATGTATTTTTTTAGACTCTGTAGTTTCAAGTATTATGATTTCTGATATATGGTATAAATGTTAACATACTTAACGTGACGCTGTCTTCCCTCTAAACTCTCCTGCTTTGTGGTTATGTTCACATTCGTTTTTATCTACATAAAAACAAACTGACAAAAAAGTTACTGAAGGGGATGCGTGAGCCGTGTTTGAATTGTTCAGTTCAATTGCAGGGTTGCTCTTCACAATGGTCTAAGCTGGGGAATGGTGACTCTTGGGGATGTAACACAATCACCACTGCATACTTCCCCCAACCCAATCCTTTTTGTATTTTCTTCACAGTAGTATAAGGAACAACTTTTATGCTAGACCAGCATAAGTTGACATAACGTGTGTGAGTGAAAAGTAGCTCCTCACATCCTCTGTGCCAAAATACTTCATGGTCAAGCTAGGTTTGCAGTCACATGTTTCTGCTACCGCCATCTACACTTCTTACATGTTATTCTGCCTATCCAAAACCTCCTAGGTAAGATTTTTGTGTGGTCAGCTCAAAATACAGAAGAAAATGTTTGTGCATGCTGGGTGAGTACAGACTTTTAAGTTTAGTTCTGAAGTCTTAAATGGAATAGTCTTTTCAGTGCCTTAGCGTCCTACAAAAAATACTTCATCTTAGTCCACATAAAAGAGCCAGCCAATGGTTTATTGTAACATCACTTAACACAAACCCCTAAATGGTCAGTTTCTTTTAAAGCCTTCTCCCAGACAGCACTAGAGCTGCTGCAACTAGACTGTTCCTACCTTTGTGCTGCATGTAGGAAAACATCTGCCCCACAGGAGTGTGCCCCCTGCACAGCATCTCTGTAGTAGAACCTCCTGCATGCAGGCACCAGGATGGTGAGGAGGCTGCAGAGGAAAAACTCTTCCTGTGGATCTGGTGGGGAGGAAACAACTACTTATTTTGGAAAGACATTTTTGAGGGAGGACTTTTATCCTACTTCTCTACTTAGTTAAAGTAATTGTTTTCAGCTACCTCATAACTAGCCTTTTTAGTAGCATCTCATATGCTTCCCCCCTCCCCCCCCTCCTTAATGGCTCCTCATGGATGAGAACGGTCCATTTAATCTACAGTACCCCATAGTGGTACCCTCCTTGTAAAACGGCAAAAAACGGGAATGCAATCACCACAATATTGGCCAGAAGATTTCAGGAGATTAACAGCTTGTCTTTTGCCTAGATTAGATATTAAAACAGGAAGAATTGTATCAAGTACTTTATTTTAATAAGCCACAACGACAAATATACAAATACCTATTTATACAGGAACGTCTTTAGTGCTTTTGTGCAAATGCAGCAGTGTCCAGTATTTCACAGCTCTCCCACAACTGTTCTGTGGAGAGGCAGAGGACAGCTATACCTCTGAGAGCAGGCAATAGCTGGTTAACATCCAGAATAAAAATACAGTCCTTAGAATACAGATCAGTTTCACTGCCCTGTCAGGAAGTGAGGATACACCTTAGGAGGGTGAAAATCTCAGCTTTGAAATTGATTTGCTAACCTCAGTAATCTGTGTTCAAGTTTCTGCATTCCCAGTATCTGGAAGGTTAAGAGCAGTTATCAAGACTTCCTAAATTTGAGGACAGTAAGCATCTCTTGTCCTGCTTGCCTGGAAAGTACCCGTGTGCCTTCTAAGCCACATTTCTTCATTGTTTCCAGAATTTCATCTGTAATTGAAAGTGTAGGGTTACTACTGAGTTGATAGAGAAAACAGTCCTAAGAGGAAGCCCTAAAACATCCATTAAACATAAACTGTAAAGCAAAGATTATAAACCGTGTCCTCTTACTCTTCCCACCAGTAATTTTTATGCAATTAATCTTCAACCAAGAACAAAGTTTACAATTTACTAACTGAAGTTCTGTAGTTTGGTATTTTTAAAAGCAATGAACAATTTGGTTATGAAGGTCATTTCTAGGAGAAGCAGAAATTCTCCCAAAAGCTGCCTAATCAATCAGGTGTGAAAGAACATCTTGAAAACACGTGATAACGTATTGCTAATAATCACTAGATCAGAAGGAGCAACTAGAAATTTTGCATGTCAAAATACGCATGTCAAAATGAAAGACATCACATTTACAACTAAAGGTTTTTGTCTTTTTAAGTCTACAACAACATTTCCTTTCATGAGAACGGGTTGGCCTGGCTTCATTACTTAGTTGATAAGATTCACTGTCTCCTTGCAGACCTGGAGCCATTTTCCAAAGTAGCTTAGGGAGTTCTTAAGTTCGGGAAATTTGCTTACATTTTTGGTCTAGCTCACCATATGCTGGATACACAAGGCAGAAATTCAGCAAAAGGATTCCAAGAGGCATCAAGTTATGTAATGTCCCTCTGTAGATTAGGGTTCTTCAAAGATGAGAAAAGCAAGAATCCACAGAGATGCTATGGTTTGCATGAAGCTTGCAAATGCACTCTAGCCATCTACTGCTCTTCTAAAGAATAACTTAGAACACTTACATGGACTTCAATATATGCTGTCGATCTTCAATTAGCTGCTACCACCCCATGTTAGATACAACTGATGTTACATACTACTTTTTCTTCTTTACTAAAGTCTGGTAACCTAGAGAACACTGCTTTGATCCACATTTTTATTAATAGTGTTAAATCTGGACCCTTGTGTCAAACCAAGGAAAGTGGTTACCTGGATTATTTTCTTTAATTGTGACCAAGTAGAATAATCCTCCCGGTGAAAGCAGATCTGGTACTAATGGAAACACTCTATCCATTACTTCTCTGCCCCTTTTGCCACCAGCCCAGGATGCCTCAATTCCATGGCTTTCCACCTAGGAAGAACAAAAGCAAAGATTGTCCTAATACAGAGTAACAGAAGCATCAGCAGTACTTACAGGAGAAAAATCACCACAGGCGTCTGCCACTAGACATCTGACAGCTCTCAAGGCTGTGTTCTACACAATGAACATACTACTTCTGTTTCAAGTTCTATTCTTAAACTGAACTAAAAAGGCTACATTTTGTCACATGCTTAGTATGCATTTTCTTGTAATATCTCATGGCTTGTTCGCCATGTGCAAGGTGGCCAGAAAACCTTTTGAGTGTTCATGGTTCAGATTTTGAGAGCAGGAATCTGCAGAAGCAGAGGATATTTATTTTGCAGGGAACAAATGCATTTTCCATTGAAAGCCTTCTGTAGGAATACCTTAGTGTGCCTAGCAGAAGTCTTAGATGGTTTATGGAAAAACTAGGTACTGAGAATCAGCAGCTAGCAATCCTTATTCCCATGTAGTCTTTATAAGCAACTCTAGTAAATCATTTCCAGTAAGACAGTGCTCTTACAACAGTGCAACATCCTTTTCCATTTCAAAAAACCCTGCAGTTTTCATACCCATCTCTCCTCTGACCGTAGAAGTACCATCTTTATTGCATATTTAATATTTTTCCTACCTCTTCAGAAGGTGTTACCACGTATGGTGGATTAAATAGCAGTAGATCAACCTTCCCATTTAATCTTGGAGAGAGTCCTTTGACCTATATAGAAAGTTGATGATTCTTCTGTTATTTTTCTCCAAAACATAAAGAATGCAAGAGTTTGTAAAAATACGAGTTACACAGTGTTAGATATTCTGAGCATTCCAGCTCAACTCAGGAACACTAAACTTCACTTTTCTATGTGCAAGAGAAGCACAAATACTATAAATAAATACTCGTGCACAGCAGAACAATTTCAACAGTCTTACGGCTATGTTATGTATAGGATATAGAAGAGCAAGAGACATATGTGGACACAAAGGCCGTACTTCATTCTTGCTTAGTCATAATTTAAGTTTGATATAAAAGAATCTTGCATTTATCATCAGTTAACGTTTGTTATCCAAAATGACCCGCCTGTGATAACTGCAGTTCAGTTCTCAAGTGTAAGCAGTTGTTCATTCATTTTAGATCCCATTTATCATGGCCCATCTCCATCATCTTTTAAAATAAATTCAGGATATTTTAAGCAAATCTCTTACTAAAAAAATAAGGAACTTAGCTTTTCTCCATATCAAATTTTGTAAGAAACAAAAGGTAACAACATACACGGTTCCCAATTAAATTGGAAAGAGCTGAGAACCAAGAACTGCATTAGAGGAAGGGCTATGAGAGTGTCAGGTCACTGCAGAGCTCCTTGTGCAGCATTTTCCAAATTATATCTACATAATTTCTTTTAAAAATTAATTCAATGCATTTTTGAAGCTTAAGTTTTAGAGCTTGATTAGTTTTGGTTTTCCCTTCTTTCAGAAACACTGGCATTTTGTTGTTTTGGTTTTTTTTTCCATCTGTGCTTATTAAGAAAACGTTTGTTCTAGACTTTATGGTTACTTTTTGGTATCTCTAATTCAGTATTAAAAAATTACAGAAACTATAAAGAAGCTATTATTGAAACATCCATCTTACCAAGTCAGTAATGACTGGCTGAAGGTGAACATTGTTAAGCAGAGCTGTCTCCAGTGTACAGTAAGCTGCCATCGGGTTGATATCAGTACATCTAAAAGCAAAATAGTACCACGTCACTGGCTGCTATATCTGGAAGTTTAACCCTGTGAACCACATGCTAATTTATGCACTCAATGCAAATGTCCTTTCCAACATCCTTTACTTTGCAAGTAAATAGCAAAAAATAGACAGTAAAGGTGACACCATGTGTCAGCAGCTAAACCACTCAACGCAACACTGGAAGTCGGAACATATGCATACAAGTCCCTAATAAAATTCTAATTTTTTTAAAAAATAAAATTCCAATTGCTGCCAATACCCAGGAAAATAACATTATGTCACCAGACCTCTGTAAGGCTAGTTAGTGGCTAAAATTTAGGATACAACCAAGCAAGCACATGTGTAAGCTTAGCAATTTGTCTAAGAAGTGGGAAAATGGATTTCTAGTCTCACCACTGCTTGTTACAGAGCTTGAAGTAATAGTTTAAGCTCGCTTTGCTTTCTTTTCTGTATCTCTAGAACTGAATTAATATTTCTTTGTGAAAAGAGTATTTTGTAAAATGTAAAAATGAAATGTATGTGTGGGCTAAGTATTCTTTATTGCATGCAAGGACTTCAGTGTTATTATACTTACATGTACAGTGCACTGGATCCAACAATGGAAGAAGCTACAAATGTTGAAACCACACCAGATCCAGATCCTATTTCAAGGCAGATCTCAACTCTAAAGAGAGAAGACTCTGGATGACTTTTATCTGTAACACATAAAAGCACCTGCAACAGACACAGGTTAGTCTGGGCAGTGTTACAAAACCCTCTGCCCTTCTCCCAGTCACACTGAAACACTTGCTGATCCTAAGGCCCTCAAAGCTCACGTGGTGTCATCCATTTCACAGTGGCTGCCAGACCTACAGATTCTGCCCATACAGATAATTCCTGGTTAACGTAAGTCACTTCAGAAAACATGTGTTTTCCCCACGCTCAACATAAAAGTTTCCATTAACTATAATCTCAACAGTGCTGGCTACATTTCTACAGCATTTATTACACATTTATTGGAGCAAGACTGAACTCCCAACAGAAATCATTAGAAGACCAGCATGAGGCCACGTAACAAAAGCAAGACACAAATGCAGAATGCCTCAGGAGTTTAAGCCAGCTCTGGACAAACAGCAGCGGCAGGCAATTTCAAAATAAGCACTCATAAGATTAACTCCTTGGGCAATTTCTGTCATGTTTATAGTTATGTTGACAGCTGTGGAGATGACAACCATTGACACTGAGCAGTAAGCCAAGCAGCTATGCAACTCCTGTAACTTTTCAGGGCTGAGACACAGGCATTTTAGCACACTCATAGAATGGTTTTGGTTGGAAAGGACCTTAAAGATGACCTAGTTCCAACCCTCCTGCCATGCACAGGGACACCTCCCACTAAAGCAGGTTGCTCAAAGCCCCATACAACTTGGCCCTGAACACTTCAAGGAGGGGCATCCACAACCCCTCTGGGCGACCTGTTCCAGTATCTCCCCAGCCTCACAGTGAAGAATTGCTTCCTTACATCTAATGTAAAAGGACCCTCTTTTAGTTTGAAACGGTTACCCCTCACCGTATCACTACACTCCTTGATAAAAAGTCCTCTTTAAGTACTGGACGGGTGTAATAAGGTTTCCTCAGAGCCTTCTCTTCTCCAGGCCTAACAACCCCAACTCTCTCAGCCTTTCCTCAGAGGGCAGGAACTCCAGCCCCCTGATCACCTTCGTGGCCCTCCTCTGGACCCGCTCGAGCAGGTCCAGGTCCCTTTCGTTACCGGGTAGCCTAGCGCCAAACACTCGAACGCGTGCTGCTGCCTGTAAACCGAACATCAGCCCTGCGCGCAGCCGCTCGCGCTGCGACCCCGCAACGCGCCACACTCCAGCCAACGAGCAGAGCTGAGCGAGCCCGAGGCCGCTCCCTCAATCGGTCGCTGCCCAGGGCTGCTCCCGCCCTTCCCCGCCGCGCCTACCGA